GATCTTATTCTCTAAAGGGACTAAAACTCACAATAATTCCCTGAATAACTAGTGAACATGTTTCCGCTGTTATCTAATAAACAGGTAAAACACATTGCAGGCTATCCTATTAAAGATTGTCTCAGCGATTTAATCATTAGAAAGATCTACTGTTTGAACTGGCTCACCATGGGTACACCCTCTACACCCTCTAGCACTCAGTCATAGGCGTTACTAATCATAAACTGATGGACTTACCCCCATTCTAAGAATTAGGCCAGCTTAAACTTACACCCATATCCTTTTCAAATAAAATATGCCATGGGCAGCTTTAGTTATCCTTATATTTAACAAGTATGCATTCATGAGGTTAAACAAAAGTTAAATGTAGAGACTCAGAGCTCTTTAGCCTGTAACTGGCGCCTCCATCTTAGCTCCCTGTCAATCATTATAAGCGCCGCCCTTTACACCATCACCATCACCAGGGAGCCTACAAAGGGGAGAAATTAAACATTGGGGCTTTTGTATAAAAACGGTCACCATTTTCTTAGTGTACAAAGTCAAAAAAGGAGGATGACTAGAAGGTCAGAAAAGTCTGACTCAGAAGTCAAGGGTTGGACTAGATGGGTAAAAAATAGGACATGACCCAATTAGTTAATATGACAAAGAAGAGTTCCTTACAGCCAGTATATTAAAGATGAGGACCCACTACTTGCTCAGGTGCCAGATTTCAAATCCAGCCGAAGATTTTACCCATACAGTAGATAAACAACTCAAAAATAGGTAATTACATTGTTAAAAAACTTCACTGTTTTTCATTTGGTTCACATTAGTATTAAGTGTCTAAATATGAAATAAAGTTTAACAATTGTAATTACCTAACATTGAGTTATCTACTGTATGGGCAAAACCTTCAGCTGGCTTTTGAAATCTGGGACCTGAGCAAGTATTGGGTCCTCATCTTCAATATACTGGCTTTAAGGAACTCTTCTTTGTCATTTTCTTAATGTATCCTCTATATACTGGGGACGTCTTTTCTGTAACATGCCAAAATGATCAGAGTGTGTCTCTTCATTCTGCTTACATTTATTGTTCTTTATTCACACTATTGGTTACATTCATACAACAAGATGAATGATTAATGTGGAAAAGGAGTTGGACCCATTGTAGAGTTAAAACGTTGTGGTGGACTTGGTTCCAATAAATTGGTCTTGCTGAGCTGTGGAGTGCCTGGACCTTTTTAACTTCTT